GCAGCCAATCTTTTTTTTCAGTGTACATTCGGTTAAACTGGATCTTACGATTAGTCCCAAGTGGGCCAATAAGTCCCTAAACTCAAAACCTAAGAAGCTTATCTGATAGTCTTCTTTAAACCTTACAAGGTTTATCGAAATATTTTTTTTCAAAAGTGCATTGTTATCAAAATTTGCAATTAACAATAAGTTAAAATAGGCCAAACATATACCGATTCAAATAGGATACGGAATCCATAGGATCCATAGAATCTACTATCTAGAATACCTATTTCAAACGTGATCTTTCAACTGGTAAACGTTAGTTTTTTTTCGTATCACTTTTGCAATGTAACACGTTCCCTTGTTAGGGTAACTTAAATATTTCTGCGTGGATTTATCTGATAGAAAAATCGAGATAAATCATCGAAAATGGTTATAACCAAGACTAATTAATTTTTTTTGCATCGCAACATCCGTGTCATTAGCATGACATAGTCATCATAACGTTATTAAGGGGATCCTAAAGCCTGCAGCCAATCTTTTTTTCAGTGTATTACCGACTATATAATTTTTGTATAACAAATACTTTTTTCTCTTTCACAGATTCGAAAATTCTTTTCCAGAATTAAAGTATACACATTAATACGTGTTTGTGAGGTGGAATTTATGGCGCCCCCGAAACCCAAAAAATTTCGAAATTGAAATCTTAAGAAAAATTTTTTGTCGTTCTCGGCATAAACTCCACTTCATAAACACGTATTAATGTGTATACTTTAATCGTGGAAAAGGATTTTTGAATCTGTGAAAGAGGAAAAAAGTATTTGTTACACAAAAAATTACGATTTAGTCGGTAATACAGATGGCTTTAGGATTCCCTTAACACTATTCTTCGATTACTATATCTCGCCGTCTAGGATTTCATTCTGATTTTAGTCCTTTGGGACAAACAAACGTGCTCATTTTCAGCGGAACACGGATAATCCCGAGAGAGTTAGATCATAAAATCCTATGCGTACGTTGCGTAGGGATATCATATGTGCGCGTGAAGCATTTGAAGAGGGCTGGAATAGAAACCGCTTCGCATAGCAACGAGAACTCGTTCGCGTCTTTTCGCGTAAAATATATACGTGTAGTTACCTTCACCGGTACCTAACAGCCCGACTGACAGGGAGGGTACGAAAGCGAAGGCGCCGCGACGCCTAGACCGACGGCTGGCGTCGCACGCAACGCGACCACGGGCGTCGCGGCGACGTTACTCATTGGCATCGAGAAATATTTACCATTGGCGCCCCCGACGAAAAGTTCGATGGCACTTCTACGAAAATTGTCGACGGATTTCACCAAAATCGTCGGATAAACGGCAATTTGCATGTCGATGTATCATCTCGCAGTCTTGAAAAGATCTGAATTGTTTGACCAAATAATAACGAAAAGAAATATCAATTGTCTAGTAAAACGATGAGATAAAATGAAAAAAAATTAATAAATAAATAAACATAATAAAGAAAATCTGATAAGTTTGAAATACAGAGGGATGTGACAACAAATTTATATATGCATTTATTTCGTTTCATTTTATTATTTATTTATTCCGAATAAAGCAGCTGTCAGAGCACGATCAACTTGAGAATGCGAATACTCCATTTTCGATTACACCGACAGTTGCACGGCGCCTCTCGCGAGATATGTCGTAAATTGTTATCAATTTACGCGATACACCATGTAATTTCCTGGAGCACCGAGCACCACGTGATGAATCACCGCGTATACTCGGTGAAATCTCGTCCAAGGTTGGCGAACGTATCAGAAGTGCCCACGTGGGAGCTTATCGCTACACGTATCAGTTTTTCTATCTCGCTATACGCTTCCTCTTTCCATTGCGCGTGTGTGCGTGTACGTATTGTCACGTTGCATATAAATAAAATGAAAAATGAAAAGAAAGTAGAAGAAACTGTCGATATTTCTGTTGATGGACGAAAGAGAATGAATCATTCGCGACGTGCAAAGAGGTATAGTTTCAGCCTCACGGGTTTACTGTACTATAGATGCATTGCAGCTGGTGCCTGTACTGTACGATAGCATACATTTCGCCGATAACGTAACGAAGGAAGTTTGCGGTCGCGAACGGTACACCACATTGGAGAACAAAATTCCCCTCACGATTCACGTAACGACGACTGGATGTATCAACCGCGCATTGTTCCTTTTCGAATTTCACGGAGTCTCTTGCTGACAATGTATAATTAAATCGTCGCATTCGCCACGACGTGTAAGGTCGACACACGTTAAATTATATCCAGTTTGAGTTATTTTTAGTCAGTTCTATAGATCGTCACTGCTCCTAATGCATCGTTAATTCGACCGAAACATGGAAATGGAGTTAGACAAGATTTAACTGAAGAAAGTGAATTAAATTTAACTCATTTATTATTTACTAAATGCATATGTCAATGTGGACGATGTTTATTTTGAAATTAACTATAGAAATGGTATCAGAGGAATAGAAAATTTTATTTACATTTTGGTACATGGAGATTAAAAATAAACAAATATTATATTTAATTCAACGGATAGAGTTATCATTGCTCCATTAATAATAGTATACAATCAATGTATTAAGTATTAAACAAATAGAAGGACTCTTTATATAAAAATAAAAATAATAAATAAAGGGCGAAGTAAGAGTCAATACGTAAAAATTATAGTCCGAAAATTGGTGAAGCATGAAAGATTGAGTCAGTCTGAATATAAAATATAAGATAACATTTAATTAAATAAATTGAGAAACACATTACAAGTTTCGGCTACCAGATTGAGCCCTCTTCAGATACCATTTTGCATGGATTTGATATACAATAAGTTCTTGTAAAAACGCATAATAAATCTTGTTCGGATGTAAAATCTATGCCGTTCACATGCCATTCGTGATCAATGATTCTTGAAAATCTAATCACTTTTTTTTAATTAAATGTTATCTTATATTTTATATTCAGACTGACTCAATCTTTCATGCTTCACCAATTTTCGGACAATGTAGTAAGTTTTAAGAAATTGACCAGTCGAATGTGAGGAAAATAATCGACTATGATTGGTCAATTTCTTACGGTTTACTACCCTACTGTAGAGTTTCAGCCTAACGGATTCGAAAGCAATAGAAAACGCCGAACAAAACGTCGGAACACGTGCAACTCGTGTAGTCGCAAACGCAAGTAACAAGTTTATAGGAGGATTATACCTGATGTATCGGTACGCAATAAATCGCATGGATCGAAAAGCGTATACATTTATCCGCGTGTCCAATAACGTGACGGGCGGGACGGGGAAACGGGGAGGAATGTAATACGTGGGAACACGCGCGACTTACGCATCATTTGCCGGGCTGCGCCGGATAACCGTGGACGGTACCACGCTCCCCACGTCGAAGGACGAATTGAAGCGAAACGAGTCGAAGTACAGCACAATGATTCTATTCCGCGGCTTATTGACAGGTACGGGCGTCCGCGAACGCCAATCCGAAACGCCGCATTGGATTAAGCCGATTCTATTAAATCCCGTCCGCTGACGTGGAGTATTCGCGCGCTGTCGTGGCGGACTTATCCCTCGTGCAGTTGCAGGGCGTGGCGGAAAAATCCACCGTCTAAAATTAGCAATTTTAAATGGCCGTAAAAACTAACTATCCGGGGTCGCTAGGTGCCTCGCTCGCCGGAACGAGGGTGGCGTCGTCGCGATTAATGTACCGAGCCTCTCTGCAGTAAAATACAACGATATAAAGCTACGTGGAACTCCTTTCTCGGCTTTTGCGCTTCAACATATGGTTTCAGTCCACACGGTTCAACGTGTAATTGTTGTATGTAGATCGTGCAGATAATCGTGTACATTCTGGTCGAAAAACTTTATAAGGACCTCACTAATTACTTGAAAAATTGGGTCCGAGTGAAATAAGTCGGTTTTCACATATGATGTAGCTTATAATATGGTGAACAAAACATGTCGTAGATACGAGACTCAATAATGGAGAGTTTTTGAGCTGTGTGTATCAAAGGTGCTCTGCGAGCACAAGTTTTTACACCTTTGATACCTTTTATTTAAGTCATACGTATATATAACATTTCTTTCATGTTCACGCTATAAGCCATAATATATGTAAAAACCATCCCATTTCACCAGGACCCAATTTTTTATATATTATAATTAGTGCAGCGTCCTTCAAAGAAAAATAACGACGAGGCAAGAACAGGAAAATTATATTTAAAAGAAATATATATACGAAATATACAATTTGTTATGTGTATCGTCATTTTTATAATAGATCATTTACGTAGAATTTCCATGCTGAAACATCAACACCGACATTTCGCGCCGTACATAATAAGCTCGTCGAACAGTCGACGAGGCGAGCTTTCAACTATTCGTGACCACCCATCGTTCTATCAGTTGCTAATACAAACTCGTTGAGCGCAAATACGACAGTTAAACGTAATAAAGCGCGGACGCAACTGCGGACGAAAACAAATTCCGTCCCACAAAGATAAAACAACAGCGGTGACGGCGGTGGCGACAGTTGCGGAGAGCCTGATGTGGCGTAATGAAATTCTGGTCGCGACGCGTCGCGCTGTCGTTGCAGTTAACTGTAGAGATAACGTGCGTGATTTAGAGCCGATCGCACACCCCAACGCGAGACGCTTTCATTCACCTTGTAAGAC